TAATAATAATAATAATAATAATAATAATAATAATAATAATAATAATAATAATAATAATAATAATAATAATAATAATAATTCTATTTGAATAACAAAATAAAGAAATCACTATACAAACTCTTTTTTGGTTCATCAAGAAATAAAACATTGAATAAATCCCACAAACACAGGTCAGTATAGTACAGTCCTAAGCCAGGGTACCGAATTATCACTTGTCTACACCTGTCGTGAGATCTTTCTCTCTACATAGGTAAACTAATCAGTACTAAGGTGGTCTACTCAGTTAAACTAATCAGAAGTAAGGTAGACTACACAGGTAAACTAATCAGTAATAAGGTAGTCTACACAGGTAAACCAAGTAGTAAAGACGCACGGACGCACGCATGGACCTACTAAAGGAAGCTTTCGTGGACGGAAAGCAGAGTCCTAATTGCTTTTCCTTGAACGGTACGTAACGATAATATGTTTTGACTAAAAGTTTCCAAATTTGTGTGTGTGTGTGTGTGTGTGTGTGTGTGTGTGTGTGTGTGTGTGTGTGTGTGTGTGTGTGTGTGTATGTGTGTGTGTGTGTGTGTGTGTGTGTGTGTGCTGAACTTCAGTATGCAGACGACCTCACCCTTGTTCCTCACAGTAACCACGAACTACAGGAGATCCTGAACACATACGCAGATGCGGATGTACACTTCGGCCTTGAGGTGAATGTACAGTACGTAAGATTCAGATTCTCTTTCAATCTGCCCCTGGTTCAGACACACCTCCACCATCCATCCTGCTTAACGGTACTACCCTCTCTAAAGTTACCCACTTTCGGTATCTCGGCTCCCACCTGTCCACCACCGCAGACATTGATGAAGCGCTTCAGCATCGGATCAAATGTGCATCTCCAGCCTTTGACAGACTCCGAAACCGTGTCTTCAGCTGTAGGGAGCTGAAATTATCTACAAAGCTGCACGTATATCGAGCAGTGGTCCTCCCCACCCTGCTAAATGGCAGTGAGACATGGGTCACATACAGGAGGCACCTCAAGGCACTTGAAAACTTTCACCAACGTATTCTACGTTCCATCCTCCGAGTTTGTTTGGAAGGCAAGAGAACAACTGCCAGTATTCTTGCTGACACCAACTGTATGAGCATCGAGGCTACCATTATCCATGAACAACTACGCTGGACTGGCCATGTTGCCCACATGGACGACAGTAGACTACCAAAGCAGCTTCTTTACAGTCACCTAACGAATAGTAAACGTAACGCCGTCGGGCAATTGAAAAGGTATAAGGATAGTGTTAAGACAAACCTGATTAAGTGCCAAATCTATTACTCCACATCATAACGTTTGGAGGAGCACCACACGAGAAGGTGTCAATACTTTCGAGTTAGCCCGACTGTAAACCGAGGCAGACAAGCGCCAACGCCGGATAGACGCCGCCACCCCCCCCCCTCCCGCACTAGATGCAGCCCTCCACACGTGCAACGAATGTGGACGACCCTGCAGGTCCCGTATCGGCCTCTCTAGTCATCTCAAAACTCACCAACCTAGGTGACAAACTTAATATCTCATATCATTGTATCATAGCTGGATGATCGTCATACTCGATTCCGAGTGACAGCAAAGTAGTGTGGGTGTGTGTGTGTGTGTCATTACGAGGACTAGTCACGTACTCTCGAACTTTACCAGACTCTCAGGGACTAATTTTTTTCCTCAACACCTAACAACTGGCAGTGTGTTGTGGGAAGGCTGGTGTGAATACATACACTACACAATTCGCTCCCCACTATCTGCGGACGTATTAAGTGTACAATTATGATGACTATATTAACAAGGTTTGAATATTTGTAGCGTCACTTGTCTGGGTCTTCGTGCGTGGCTCATACACCCACGTACATTGCACTTACATGGTTTTATAGCTATGTATATATATATATCTGTACGTACATTATGGATGTGGATGTGACAGCCTCCTACAACACATCCACGCCTACGCCAAGCATACTAAACTACCCCCATAGTACACCCGCCTACACATACTGAAATACACTCACACCAACCTACACCTACCCACTAAACTACCCCCACCTACTGAAATATACCCACCTACACCCAGTCATCCACCTACACGCTAAGGTAAACGCACTCACCTACTAACACCAATTAGTCAGGTAGAACAGGTGCACCATAGCCAAAATAGTATCTACCGTGTACTATAAATAGTAAAGAGGATTAAAAGCTAAACGGATATAGTTGGGGTAAAAATACTCTCATGGAAACTTGCCAGAGATTCCCCACGACTGACACACACACACACACACACACACACACACACACACACATACCTGGCAAGAGCTCCAACAATTGCGTATCTTAACTGTGTTGTGTTGACACCTCCATATATACAGTACATGCTATGGCTGTACATCTGTTAGCCTTATTGCTTACCCGAGTTATGTGAAAGACTACATATTATTATATTCATAGTTGTCTATATCTTTTTATACGCTAAGTTATGTAAATGATGTTAACATACGGTGGAGTGAGTCGTTTTAGTTTACATATATATAATGTAAACAGTGTTAGTACATACCGGCCTCCCTCGTCAGTCGAAACTTCTCAATAGTCCTAAAAAAACGTTCATTTTATATTTTTATTTCGCTTCAAAACTAAGGTCTTTAAGAGCGCAATAAGATTATCAATTACATTAATCCATCAATAATCAAAGATTATAAGCGACAGAACCCAGAAAAAAGATGCATCATTATCTCAAGCACTCGAAAAAACAGCCTTTGTATCGTTGACAATATTTAAATTTTATATACTGATGAACTTTTTAATGTTGTATAATGAAGAAATTTAAGAGAATAGTTGAATATTTTGTAATTTATATTTACCCAGATTTACCCCAAATAACTTGGTAATTAATGATTACGAATTTTTTTAACATTGGCCATGGTGATTTAAGGCAACACTGAAGAGAAAGGATGATGATGATGGCAAGAAACTGACTCTTTAAATAAGTAAATTAAACCAATATAACACAAATTTACCAAACAGTTCACCAGTTTTATTAAGGTAGAAAGAAAATCAATTAAAACCAACATACTCAATAACTAATACGCATAAACAAAAAAGTAATTGACAATATATTAGGTAACTATTTTTACACCAAGTTATATAAATTTATGATATATCAGGTAAATATTTCCACGCCAGGAAATACTACACACAAACACAGCCTTGCGACTCATCACTGACAGTGTAGTCGTGTAAGTCACTGCATCGACGCTACACCCGACGACAGGTGCCAGGAAGGGTGCCAAGGATGGTGCCAGGGCGGGTACCAGGGAGGAGGCAAGGGAGGGTGCCAGGAAGGGTGCCAGGGCGGATACCAGGGAGAATGCCAGGAATGATACCTGGGAGGATGCAAGTGAGGGTGCCAGGTTAGGGTGCCAGGAAAGGTGCCAGGGAAGGTGCCTGGGAGGGTACCAAGGAGAATGCCAGGAATAATTCCAAGGAGGATGCAAGGGAGGGTACCAGGAATGGTGCCAGGGAGGGTGCCAGGGATGGTATCCGGGAGGGTAATTGGGAGTGTGCCAGGAGGGGTGTCTAGGGGGGTGTCAGGAAGGGTGCCAGAGAGGTTCCCTGGGAGGATACCGGAGAGGGTGTCAGGAAAGGGTGTCAGGAAGGGGTCTCAGGAAGGGTGCATGGGAGGGTATCAGGAAGCGTGCCTGGGAGGGTGTCAGGAAGGGTGCCTGGGAGGGTGCCAGGAAGGTTGCCTGGGAGGGTGTCAGGAAGGGTGCCTAGGAGGGTGTCAGGAAGGGTAACTGGGAGGGTGTCAGGAAGGGTAAATGGGAGAAAGTTAGGAAGATTGACTGGGAGGGTGTCAGGAATGGTGCCTGGGAGGGTGTCAGGTAGGGTGCCTGGAAGGGTGTCAGGAAGGACACCTGGGAGGGTGTCAGGAAGGGTGCCTGGCAGGTGTTAGGATTAATTAATTTTGCCACTTTCAGCGACTAGTTTATTGTGCACCGCATACTTATCCTGTGGGCAGTAGCGCAAAAGGATTACAGAGTAGAGTTCACAAAGGGTCAGTATAACTAACCCCCGTGGTGTCTGGATATTATGGCATTGAATGTTAAACAGTACTGCAAATAAATTCTTTGTTTAGTTCTATACGTAGAGGGTAACTTATTCACAACTGCGTGAGTGCAGGAGTGTGAGGCAGTACTCGTATGTCTGGCCGCACACTATGTTATTCACATTTGCATGAGAGGTATTCAAGCACATTGTGTGTTTGGTTCTATAACATGGGAACTGATATAGCTACTAAGTGCAAGAACGTGGATACAATCTTAATAAGTCGGCTATCTTGCCATTAGAGATAAAGTGTTGTGCTATTTCACACACAGTGTGCTTGGACCTGTCCCTAAAAGGTTCTATCTTCACACAGTCGAGGACGTAGTGCTCGAGTGTGTGGCTATATGTCTGGCCACACACTTCACATTTAGTCTTGTTCACATCTGCTTGAGGGACATGCTGCCAGAGGTACTTATATCCTGACCTTAGTCTAGCGTTTACGACATCTTGTAATCTAGTGATCTTTTTGCTTGCTCCATATATATATTTCATTTGATACATCTCATCATGGTAAGTCGACATGCTATATCCATTTTGACTAGTTCGTACAATATAAGTTACCTATTGGCAATATCAATTGCAGCTTTTAGGTCAAGAAATGTGGTGTATCTGTGCCTTTCATCACCATGCACAGTTAAGAATGTGGTGATGCAATTATGTACACCTTTACCATGGGTGAAGCCATTTATGTTAGGAGACATGTGTTCTCTCATTCTATGTAAGAGTCTGCCAAGAACCATCCTCTCAAAGGTTTTACACAGGCTGTCCTGGTTTCGGTATTGGTACAACAATACTGCTGGTCCATGATGTGGGTAGTTGGCCCTCGTCATGACTCATATTGTACAATGCCAATAATGGATTGCCCGGCACACGCCTTAGTAGTTTAACGATATGGTAGGTGACTACATCCTCTCCAGGGGCAGTAGACCTACCGCTGGCGAGGGTGGCGTCAAGTTCCCACTCAGTATATGGAACATCACACTCGTCGTGCTGTTTACCCGGCATAAAGTTAATGAGATTACTTCTCTCTATAGACTTAGCACCAAGGAGTTCTCGAGTCCTAGTTGGTAATATGTCATAGCTAGAGACATGAGCCCACGTTGTTATTGGTTCATTCGATTTTTGCAGAGGGTTTGGATGGGAGACGTGTCTACTGTTTTTACCTCTGATTGTGATCATACCTTTCCCATGTGATCATACCTTTCCCATATGTTTCCCAGGCATTTTGTCTGAGTTCGATAACACGTTCCCTGGCAGCAGCAAGGGAACCTTCATACAATTGTAATATTTGAGGTGTACTAATTTGTTTGAAACCCTTGCCCACCCTCCTGACTCTAGCCCTGAGGGTTTTTTTTTCAGTTTGGGGTCATCATAGCACTGCTGTTGCCTGTTCTCAGGTTACTGACCACGTTTTCTCCTTCTTTTTTTTTTTTTTGGTGGAGGTATTGTTGGTGAAGTATGTATAAATCCTATCTATCAGATCACCATGGAGACTTTGGTAGTTGTCAGGCTTGTAATCCTTGTACCAGTCATGGCTGAAGTTTATGAACTGGGAGTTCTTGTTCTTGCTTGACTGTGAGTCTACGTCTGCTGAGTTTACCGCCAGTGGGGGTGTCATTGGCTACATGTATACTAGTTTGGATTTGGTTGTAGTCAGACATAAGATCAGTGACAACATCAGAGCTATGAGTTGTGTATGACAGAATAAAACCAATACACTTGTCTGGAGCCCCGCCATGGATGTGTGTTGGTTCATTATTACTTATAATTTGGGCATCTTCATCTGTGCTGAGAAGTGAGATAAGTCTCCTGCCATTGGTGTTAGTGGTGGAGTCACCTAATTTCTTGTGCATAGTATTCAGTTCACCAATTACGACAGTGGATTCAATGTGTACAAAGTCTGGGAGATCTATATATTGAAGCTGATCTAAGGGAGCATGGGCATTTAACACGTTGAGTGTGGAGTTACCCAGGTGGATAGTGATCCCCTGGTACTGAAAGTTGGTAGTCTTTTTGGATAAAAGACGTACATGTGGTAGTGAATTCTTAACATACATCAAACATGTGTGGGTAGAACTAGGATCATCATACACATAATTGGTGAGACTGGGTGGGGGCTTACCATTAGGTGTGACACACTCCTGCAGACACACAATATCGATGTCCTCAGTCACAACTTTGTGGTGGAGGTCAGGGTATCTTTTTCTAAGGGATGAAATGGTCCAACTCACCACCTTCACCTCTCTATATATCTGTCTGGCATTAACAATGGTCATTATGTACTATATTTGGAAAGAAGCAGAAGGCACTGTATGATATTGCTTTTTTTTCCATGCTGCTTGTCCTTTCTGCAGGCAAGGGACTTTTTAATATTTTTTTAAACATTCTTGGAGCATGTACTGCTCACCAGTTGATCTATTTGAGTAGCAAACATCAATACACTTTCGTTACACTACATCACCACCATTTTCTGTTTGTGTTTGTTCATCTTCACTGACTATGTCCACAGAGGCATCGGTAAAACTGTTACCAGTATCACTGTTTTCCTCTGCGTGGACACTAGTGGATCTTGAATTTCCATATCTGGTTGAAATCTTTCTATATCTGCTGCTCTTTAACATATAATTTTGAGCTGCAAATTGAGCTTTGATTTCTTTAATTTAATTTTTCAAATCATTGATCTCTTCATTTTGAGCGATTTTACGGGGTGTGTTGGCAGCTCCTTGTTGTGTAAGTACGTCTGTGTTGCCCCATGCTGATCTACGTTGACGGCTGGTGATGATCCTAGAGCTTTGGTAGTCACGGCCGGCCAGGGTTTGGCTTGTAGGGAGTACCCTAGCAGCAGTAGTGTTTCTTGAGACCTGCCTGGGTGGTGGGTCTGGGTGCTGAGGGGTTGTAGGAGCTCTAGGACAGCCAGGGTGCCATACAGGAACTCCATCTCTTTTTCATTTAATACACCTCAGTTGACTGGGTCCCCCTTGAGCAACTGTATTTCTGCAACCCTGTGTTTCATGTTGTCCACACCACGGCTTGGTAGAAAGGCATAATCGGGCCACATGGCCACATGTTGACAGTTGTAACATCTCCGGGTAGGGGGCTCATAGCGAGTTACATTCAGAGTCCGATAGGCACCACTGACTCGAATGGTCTTGGGTGGGTCCCCCGAACCAACCCAGTCTGCTATGACTGCGTTCTTGCCCCTGAGTCGCTTCGTCCTTCTGATGGCGGGATGAGCTTCTAGTAGTGTAGGTGTCTGGTACTGGTCGAGCCCTATGATTAAGATGGATTTCTTGCTCGATGGTTGGGATGGTTGTTCCATGGTTATTCCCATTATGCTATTGGTGAGGAGATCCTGTATGACTGCTGGGTCGCTTCTAATCAGAACATGGGCTTGTGTACTGACTCTGAACTAAACCTCAGCGTTTGGGTGTTTATCTTCCGCATCGTGAAACCATCGATACTTGACTTCAGTTGGTGTACCTACAGTGAAGTTTAATATTACTCTCATGAGGGGTTGAGGTTGTAGTTGTTGGTCTCTAAGTTTTTCTGCCTGTTCGGCCTTCCGCTTGTTCTTGGAATGAACTAGTTAAAAGTCATCCTCTCCATTGGTGTCAAGGTCAACACCATAGTTACCTGGCTAATTCAGTGCCCCTGGAGGGTTAGAGAGAGTAGCTGGGTCTCCAGTTAACTCAGACATGGTGGAGTTACAAGACTCGACCTATATGCCTGCGTCAGAAGGTTGAGGACTGCTTGGCACTCCTAGGAAGTCAGAGGTGGTTGAGAGGCATAACACTCTCACAGGACAAGGAAACTGACATCTATAGCATATCAGCGGTGCGAGGGTAGGGAGTGTGAGGGCAGACCTGGTATTTCTACAGGGGAGGGGAGTGGAGGGGGGGGGGAGGAGCTGGAGTATTCTCAGTTTATAAACACTTTGATTACACTTGTTCTTACTCAATGGTATCTGGTTTTCTGGTTAGATACGGTATCAAAGACAATTTCAGTTTTAAAATAACTATCCAGCTTGGCACTATATGAGGCTGGGAGTTTGTTTATACAAGCCCTCACCCCATGGCCGGGAGTGACCAATAGGGTAGTACGCCTTGCGGGCACCTACACACACCACAGTGCTCAAACCACACGTTAGTTCACTTGTTATACAGGCAACAATTTTGCTGCTGTTGTCCTATCGGTTAAGATAATCCTTCACGTGACTGTGTTAGGAAGGACACCTAATATTCAATAACACAGTGTTCTAGGAGTGATCAGCAGAGTCTTCATCGGTCGACTCAGACAGGGGGCAGTGATAAAACTTGACCGTATTTGCTTATGGTCGAGGAGCTTTTACTACAGTACCACGTTCGTGGAAGCTGGGCATAAGTGTATGGGCACTGTGGATGCCAGAAGCTGTCATATTGATCAATAAACTATACTCACTAATGCCACTTTACACACGGTCATAGCTCACTGACACTGATGTGATGTCACTGAGTATTACACTCTGCTTCACAATGCGCAAAACATAAGTTTGGTTGTCCTGTAGTGTATGGCACACAAACTGTCAGCAGTGGCGTGACCACATAAGGGGACAGACGTGTGCCCATAGGTGCTCTTGACTTCTTGATCGTCCCACAAAGGTCCCCTCAGCCGGCAAGATTTTTCCAGCATGGGAGTCGATATAAACGACCCAGTAGAGGCTCTCTCATGGACGCAGACATTTCTGATACGGATGCCATCGCCAACTCGCCTGGTCATACTGAATCCAACACCCCTCAAGAGTCAGACCCCAGTGATTATGACAGTGCCGGTAATGTTTCCATGGAAACACTAGCCGCAGAGGAAACACCAATGCCACGGACCCTATCACCCTGCCCTCTGCCAACCAGCCAAGTAAGCTGAATCTTCACTTCCCCAAGGACTCACTGAAAACTGTAGAGGAACGCTTTTATTGGATGGTGAAGTACTGCAGACAACACGGTCCCAACATTCAATTCCGACATGGTAAAAACCGGAACTTTATCAAGTGTCAGACTCCTGAGGTCTATGAAACACTTAGTACTGTTGGCTTTGACAGGGTTGTCCTGGTGCCCCCCCCCCCAATAGTCGCTGATGAATGTTGCCACATCCTAGTGAAGCGATTCCCCCTATACGCTGACATCGAAGATGCGCGTAACTTTAATTCTAGTATATTCAGTCTACGTCGACATTACCGGGGGAACACCCTACAAGCTACTGCCATTGCCAAGCGGAAGGGAAGGGAATGCCCAACCACTGTGGAGGCCCACCCAATCCTCCCTCCACTTTATGCAGAACCCTATCACCCCGGACCTGCATTTTGTGTTATTTGCTCTCATTGAGGTCACACCTTCACTGCCTAGTGCCGATGTGATCGTTCTAGATGTCGCTTCTGTTCACGTAACCATAACTCCGCCGCCTGTGCCCAGTAAATCAAAGACCACCTTAATGGGGGCGGTGTGGGCTATGTGGTTGATCCCAGGTTTTGTAACTGTGACGGTCGGCACAATGCTGACTCACGGCAATGCCCTAATAGCCCGTCTGTCCAAGGAGAAAAACCTCCCCGAAGGCCCCGTCTACCACAACGCCGCCCATCCCGTCTACCGGGCCCCCTTCCTCTGCGTCCCCTCTGTCTACAACAATGCCTCCTTCTTGAACAACACCTGCCCTTGCCTGGCCTCACCTGGCTGAAACACAGCAGTCCCGGCCGTCTCCTAACTCAATTACTACTGGGCCTCCTCCCCGTCTCTACTCTGACGCTGTCAGGCATTGTGCTCCCACCGGTCCCCCCCCCCCACAACCCGCTTGCATGTGACATGACACAGATCATATCCTCTTCCAAGAATTTACCGACCGTATTGAAAAACTCTTCGTTATACTCTGTACCACCATCTCCGACCTTCTCTTGCCCTCTGTTGCCACCCAGTCACTCCTCTCTTCTGGTTTGACACAAGCTGGTAGTCCCCCTGTGAGCCCCCCCTGCTCACGGCCTACTCCACCGCCGACGGCCTTCACTACTGGTGTGGCGCCTACCGGGCCTACCCTGGTGTGTCCTGCTGCCTCTGGGGCGAAGTCCTGCCTCATCTTCACGACATGTGGTGTCTCAACCTGTCCACCCACCGCAAGCCGCGCCCACTCCTGTGTCTGAGCTGTCTCCACCAGGGCTACCTGGACCTGAGGACACCACCCCCGGCTACCTGTACCCCACCGACATGTCGACGCACACACCATCACAATTACACTAAAAGGTATGTCCCTCAATGTTGTCAATGCCTATGTGCCTCTCCACCCCTACTGTACCTGCCCCACCACACCATATCACCTCCACCACCCCCACTGTACTTCGCCACGCCTGGCCACACTGTTTGTAAACTTTGTGGTCAACCGACTCTGACACCCTCTTTCACCACATCCTCATTTGCCCTATAACCTCCTACAGGTCCCCAGCCGTTACCAACACCTCTTCCCTCCCTGACCAGATATCCCTCCTCTTAGTGACAGGCCTGGCACTTGACATTATTAGGGACCTGCCACACTTTGCCATAAACAGATAAATTGTACCGGGAATTTCCCACACACTCATCATTATGTCACTTTATGTAACTTGCTGACAAAACCCATGACCCTTCAAGCCTTTACGCCCTTAATGCACGAGTCATAAAGGCAAGCGTGAACTCCGCATGCTTCCCAGTTAGACACTGTAAACGCTTCTGCGCTTCACCTTGCACAGGATGTAAGGGGATGCCCAATAAAGTAGCCCCCTCGTGGGCAATCTAAAAAAAAAAATCTAAAAATCTTCACTGTGTCACAACGTCACACTGTATTTTCCTCTATACAGCTTGGTTATGGTACTTATACAGTCCACATTTATAGCGTCGAGGTACCGAGATAACTAAGGCACACAAGGTAACTTCTCATACCTGTACCAAGCTTCATACGGTGCTAGAAGCCAGGTCAGGTCAGAGGAGCGAGAGGGTGT